CCCCCCCCCCCCCCCCCCCCCCCCCCCGCCACACCCGCCAACGGACAGACAGCGTTGAACGGTGGACAAGTCGGTTCAGCTTCAGTTTTCAGTTCATTTTCGGCACTACAAAATACCTTTTGGACGATATCATTTGCAGTTAAATTGATATAAAATATGAATATAGGGCGCGTTCGGTCTGCCGGCGCAGCTGCGGCTGGCGCAGTTGGCACGCCGCCGCGAGCGCACGCTGCGGGCGCGCTCCGACCGCTACCTGTACACGCTGCTCACCGTCGCCGTCTTCTACGCCCTGCCCGTGCTGCAGTTCGTCGCCGTCGTGAAGATCGTGAGTGCCGGAACCTAGCGCAACTAGCGGCGAAGGAGAAAGGGCCGAGACCGAGGCCGCGCTCCATGTCTCGAGCCAGAATAACGGCCGCGGGCCGTGTGCGCAGATCCTGAACGTGTCGGGCTCGCTGGACATCTGCTACTACAACTTCCTGTGCGCGCATCCCGCGGGCGCGCTCAGCGACTTCAACCACGTGCTTTCCAACCTGGGCTACCTGCTGCTGGGCGCGCTGTTCGTGCTGCAGGTGCAGCTGCGCCGCTCGCGCCGCCGCGCCCGCCCGCGCGCGCCCGAGTACGGCATCCCGCCGCACCACGGTCTGCTCTCCGCGCTAGGCGTCGCCATGATGATGGTGGCCGTGCTCTCCGCCACCTACCACGTCTGCCCCAACAAGATCAACTTCCAGTTCGGTAACGTACCTCACCCGCGCCGCTAGCGCTTAGCGCCTCCGACGTGGCGAGCGGCGCGTCTGTAGGTTTGTGTTTGTGTCTCGCATCCAGACACGGCGTTCATGTACGTCCTGGCGGTGCTCAGCATGGTCAAGATCTACCAGTCTCGGCATCCCGACGTCAACGCGCGCGCGCACGCCACCTTCGGCGTCTTGGCCGTGCTCATGGCGCTCGGTGAGTGCCGCACCACACACACAACGCGCACCACACGTGTTGCAAAAAGAGGAAGTAGTTGCGCATAAAGTGAATACAGAAAAGTAAAGTAAGTGTTGTTTTGGTGCGGTGGGGGAGCAGTGGTGTGGGGGGTGCTGGGCGGCGGCGCGCTCTTCTGGGGCGCGTGGACCGTGCTGCACGTCTTCACCTTCCTGCTGCTCTCGCTGCGCATCTACTACGTCGGACAGTTCCGCCTCGGTACCGCTCCTTTGTTACATTTTTCATTATTCATTCAAGCAACACTATCATGTGGCGCATTTCTCTCAGCGTAAATCATGTGAGTTGATCGAACAATCGTGGAACGTGGAATGTGTAACAAATTCCACTGCCTTTTATGATGAAGAAGAACTTATGCATCATGAGATAAATGAGGCATCGCCGTGTCCGCAGAGAAGCACAGCCTGCAGGAGGCGGCGCGCGAGCTGCGGCGCGGCGCTCGGCCGCTGTACGGCGCGCGGTTGGCCATCCTGCTGGCGGGCAACGCGCTTAACTGGCTGCTCGCCGTCTACGGGTGAGACCACTCACTCCGCCCGCGTCCACGCCGAGCCGCTCGTGTGGCTCGGCTCAACCTTGTGTCATTCCTTGCGACAGGCTGGTGCGCCAGTCGGGCGACTTCGCGGGGCACATGCTGCAGGTGCTGCTAGGCAACACGCTGCTGCACATGGCCGCCTACCTGGCGCTCAAGCTGGCGCACCGCGAGCGCCTGCGCTGGTACGCGTGGTGTTGGCTGGCGGGCGCGGCGGCCGCCTGGGCGCCCGCCCTCTACTTCTTCGTGTCCGGCTCCTCCGACTGGTCGGCCGCGCCCGCGCTCTCCCGCCACCGCAACCACCACTGCATGGTAACGACCCCGCCACATCTCACTTCACGACGCCGCTCGGAGCGATTGGTTTAGAGCGTGCCCCAAAGCGGCGGCCAATAACATGTCGCTTTGCCAAACCTCGCCAGCGTTCACTTTGTAATGTTAACTGATCACTGACAGCGGAACGCTAACTTTAAATCTTCAGTTCCTATCCTAACATATATATTTACCAAAATGTCGTGTATGTTCGAGACATATACCTGGATTATCCTCGAACCTCGTGCAGAGAGAGACGAGTGAGGTGAGGTAACTTGACGTGTGCAGGTGCTGCAATTCTACGACTCGCACGACCTGTGGCACCTGCTGTCGGCGGTGGCGCTCTACTGCTCCTTCAATGCCATGCTCACCTGGGACGACGGCCTCTCCGCCCTCAGGAAAACAGATATACCCGTCTTCTGACATTTACTATAATACATTAAATTGTTGTTTTTTTTATTTATTCATTACTTTGTCGAGCCTTTGTAACTAAACTATTGATCACTTTTGAAATTACTTTTTACCCAACTATGTAATATATATAACCGTGTTGACGGCGCCATAAACGACTTAACTGAGAAATGAGGTGTTCGATTCGTTTTTTCATCGGGCATTACCGGGAGTGCTATATAATGATCAGTGCATAGAGCTGACTCATCTTAGTCGAATATTTTTGTTTTTTTTAACACGAATCGTGTATCTTACTAATATTGTAAATGCAAAAGCTTGGACAGCTGGATGAATATTTGTAATTTATTTTATTAAAAACGATTTTTTAACAAACACAAAATTATGTTTTATTTTCGTTTTATTTTTAATATTAATTTTTGATTTAAAATGTCAGAACTTATATTTTAATCTTTTAACCGATTTCATACAAGTTTGTATGAAACATTGTTGAACGAAATTACAAAATTATGAAATGTCAATTGTCAATGACGTCACGTCAGCGACAGTCGCGTTCCCATTATTTTTATTTCGCAATTTCCAGAATATCATCTCTGATTTAGTTTTAAGTTCCTAAAACCCGCAATCAAAAAACAAAACGTGGTCTACGTGGTCCAGTGATGGATAATCAATATTACTACAAGTTGATGGCCAGTTATCTGTCAAAGCGTAACTGTGACGAGTCTTTTATGCGATACTTCTTCGGCAAAAATTCGAGTAAGAAGACGCCTGAAGAATTAGAACGGGCAGACGAACGTAAACGTCGTCTACAGCGGGAAAGGTCACGGCGTTATCGCGCGTTGAAGAGTGCTCGGCGACAGCACGAGGGCAGAGGCGACGGCTCCGACGACGTGCGAACCAAGTCGCGGCCGACGCCGGAGGACGACTTAAGCGACCTCGACGAGCCGCCCACCCTGTGCGATCTCACTTACGATGACAAGTGGCGGGAACGCGGCGCTTCCCCCGACTGCGCCTCTGACGACAATTCGGCGCATTCCGGCGAGCGGGGCGAGCTCAGGGAGGCGGTGCTCTCCGGTAACGTGGCCCTCAACCTCAAAGAATTTCTGAGCTCTCCCAATGCAGAGCTAGACTACCCAACGGTCCACAGCCTTATGTTCCATTGGTTGCAGACGTAACATTCTCATTTTACATTTACACACTTGCATCTCTTCATTGGCTCATCACATATTCAAATAAAGCAATACAAATTTCAACATTTCATTAATATATACAACAAAACTTGGAACTTGATATGATAGAAGTTGCTGTAAACATATATAACACATATCAGAGTTGGGTTGTTTCCTCTGTACCATGCACATTGTCACAAAGCAAGCTAAGAGAACCGTCCTACTGCTTATTGAGCAAACATATACTTTAATCAATTAGGAGATAGAAAAAAAAATGGAGTGGGATGATTGCAGGAGTTGGCATCATACTTTATTGCACAGTGGTGTCATTTGTTGCAGTTGTAGGGAATTGTTGCTTGATACCTGATGCCGTGATAAACTTTACATTTGGTTGTTGACAGTGCAGAGCACAAACCTGCCTTTGTCGATCACATTTATACCATGCCTGCATCACTAAAACATATATATGTTTACCATCTTAACAGCATTCAAATGTTCCTGCAAAATTAAGAACTAATTATGCACTGGCATCCCTTGCAAGAGGTTAGTCCGTGGGGGTCCTGGGCAGGATCCCCTCACCATACACGGTCAAACAAAACTTTAAAGGTTTTACATCTGTAGAGAATAGTGTGAAAAGGAGTTGCATTTATTGAAGTAAGTGAAAGTTGGGATTGCTTTTTTGTTTCAACTTAAAATTTAAGTTTATACAAAGTGTAGAAGAGATTACATTATCAAAATATAAATATGGTGCCATTGTGGCGGGGTGCCAGTGTGGGGCGAGACCAACGCTCCCACTCCATTGAGCGTGGAGTTATAGTTGATAGAATGTTCCATTAGACAATAAGTTGCCATATCCTAATATTTAGATACTCAACTATACATATATTATATATGCATATAGAAAGGGATAGTATATATATATATATGTTTACATATAGTTTGTGATATGGAAGAATTTACATTTTGTGTGAAATCTACAATATTAGCTGTAATTAGTAATAGGATAAGAAATTTAAGATAGCAGTGTGGTGTATACATGCACCCAGGCTGCCCTACTCCATAGTGATGGGCGCACTCAAACATTCCTGTTTGGCAATACGGCTCCATGAAGCCGGTGCCGTCCAATGAGCCAGTTGACAAAGTCACACAACATCTGTTAGGTTTCTCTCACTGACTCATTGTTATTCAGCTTAAAAGTAGATTTATATTTGGTTGCTTGTGAAAAGGATGTCATATGTACTGAATTGGTGGCCACATTGAACAGTTGTAACAAATTCTTACAGGAGTATGATGAAGTCAATTACAATTTGATTTGACCATTTAGAAGATACATATATGTAGTTGTTATATAAATCTATACAATACTAAATAAAATAGAGGAACAAACTGGTTGCCATGTAGTTTATAAAATTATAAATGAACAAATAAGTTTTCAGATTCACTGCAGAGCAGTAGCTCCCTCCATCCGCCTTGCATTGGATGCGCCTTGCACGGCAACAATGTTACTACTACTGTTGTTTTGTTGTCTTGCAACCACACTCAAAGTTGCTTAATAAACCATTACTTGAAGTACTCACAGTTTTAGCTGCAGCCCGTTGCTATAAGTCGAGCCACCAGTGTTCATTCAAAGTATGCATTTACTAAAATCTACTTCAAGCAGTTTTGAGTGTGGCACTTAATGTTTTATTTTGAAATTATTTTCAAAGTATGCATTTAAGTAATACTCAATAATATAAAGATGCTCTCTTTAGTAAGGTCTGCTTTAATAATTGTCTTATCTTTGTCCTTAGATTAAGTATTGCATCGAATTTAAAGTGTATATGTAAACAAGTGCTTTGTTAAAGTTACAATATTGTTTTAGCGTGTAATCTATTATTTAATTATACTATATATTGATTGATAATGGCTATTCCCACAAGTTTGTACAATAATTAGTTAGGTTTGCATTTGCATAACTTTCTATATTAATACAAAGTCTCGAGACTTTCTCTCACAATTATAGTAAATGTGTTTGAAATTCCAAAACAACATAAAATCATATGTTTTATTTTCATAGTTTTGTAATTATGGGGAATCGCAAACGCCGTTCCTTTTTAATTTGCCTAGGCAAATTCCACCCATATGTAATGTCATAAATAACAAATCTATTTTGTCAGAACATTTGCCATATTTGTATATTACTTATAATTGTAATTGCAGATCCACATTAGTGCCGTGAACAGATGTGAATGCGTATGGTTCTTGCTCGTTCTTCGATCAGTCTCACTCGTTCATGCAACGTTTGTAACTCATGCATATTCACGCCTCGTGTCACCATTTTTATTCCAACGTTTTTAATTTTTTGAATTCACATTATGCATTAATTCGCTCGTGAATTCACGCCACCGATGTGGAGCCACTGACCGTCAGTCATATTTTTTATTATTTAAAAACTTTATTAGCCATTTTTATTTGTAACGTTTAGGAATTATGTTTTGATAAGTAATTATTAAGTAAGCAAGGTGAACTGAGGGCTTTTATTGTAATCAGAAGCAAAATCTGAAAAAACAAAGCCATAAGTGGATTGTGTACACACGGCCATAGTATTTTTATATTTTGTTTAATGAACTCATGACAGCAGTTGTGCGAGGTGTGTGCCGTATCCACGCCCACGCCCAACACTACAGCTTTGGTAGCAATGGTATTTAAAGAAAGATATTCTTTGATATGTTGAGGAATGTTCCCGCTAGAAGTTATAATATATATGGAAATAAACCGATAATGGCTTATTGGTGTCATATCCAGATCATACGAAAAGTTTGAATATTATTTATACATCTTTCTTCCAAAGGCCGCGTGCCTTTAATAAAATGTAGCATAAACATAGTTTAGGTACTGTAAGGTAGTGCCATATTAAAGAGCTTCCTATTTTTAAAACTGTTTTTTATTGATATTTTCATGATGATGCATGACCTAACCAGTTGCAGCATGCTCACTGACTAGCGGAGCGTGAGTAATGCAGAGCAGTGCATGCCCGTCCCGCCATCTTAGTTAACTTCGGCATCTATGATACCCAGCTATAAACACTCCCGGACACATCTATTGGCCCACCTAGTGTTTTATGTTTCGGTCTGTCTCTAGCTAAAAATAAATGCTATAAATTTTTTGCAGTTTTGAAGCTGATTTATTGGTCAACCCTTTGGTATGTTCTTTTTTTCAATTTATACTTTATTGAAAAAAATAAATGGAACACAACACCTGATCAACCGGTTACCGGATTGTTTACTGTTTTGGTCAAGTTAGAGCAAAACATGTTTTCCACGTCGCCCAACACAACATTAACCACTACCGAATTCGGTAAGAATCGCCCGCCCACTGCGACTCCTGTGAGTCAACGCTACGACTGTCTGCCCACGACTGAACATGATAATCATAAACAGGAAGTAAAGCCCCACGAGGCGACAATCTACATCATCTTACATATTTGTATATATAAATATGACCATATAACATTCGTGTATGTTTGTTCGGAGAGAGCTGGAGTAAAGATACGCAGAACTAAGACAGAGCAATTGAACTGCGACTTTCGTTTCTCTTTTCCCAGTTTGCTCCAACTTACTGACCTAGGCTCGTTAATCCAACACAATGACCATATTAATCGTGAAGTGAAAAAAATTATAAATGAGGCATGGATGAAATGGCGACAGGTCAGGTTAATAAGCGACCCACAGATTCCTCCTAAAATGTAAAGGTAGCATAATATCGATATCCTTTTTACTTTGAAGCAAATAAAAGTTTTTTTTTAATTATAAATAGGAAATAAGCTTAAAACTTGGACAATCAACTTGAAAGTCCTACCCAACCGTTGACTTCTAACACACAGTTGTTTTGTATTTAACACTGCTTAGGTTTTTCTTATTACATAACTTTATTAAATAGATAATATATTTATTTAACACACAATTCCTCTATATTTTTATTGTTTTTAACTTGCATCAAGATACATTTTTAGTGAAGGTGCAGCCGCAGCGCAGGCAGCTTTAGCCGGCTGCAGATAGAAGAAACGGACATTAAATGCTTCTAGTAGGAAACCCTAATTTAATCGGCTAAGATAAGCCGTATAAGTTCTATACATCTATCTTCAGCCGTAACGTGCACACTTATGGTCTAGTTAATTAATAAAATCTCCACAAAGTCATATCACAGGCAATTCATAATGAAACATCAAATAAATCTTATACATAATGTAAAATATATAATGGTAACAGTGAATAATCGATGGTTAACATCATCTTATACACACAAGTTTTTAAAATCTAACCGACATGACGTTTTAAAGAACCGGCACTCGATTGCTGTTCTTTCCTTGATGTGCCTTCCGATATTTCTGGCAAACATAAAAGTTTGAATATTTACATCGTATGTACATATAATTATAGTTATGATACGGACTTGCTGATTTGTCAAAGCAAAGACGTGAACTACACTAAGTCCAGATTTGTAAGTGTAAATACAAGCGTCTGATATGTACCTATATCTTCGCGGACTTTAGGTCTTCAAAACGCTAAAGTTAAAGATTTTAAAGTAACCTAGCAAAAAGTAATGACTTCTAGTGCCTACTTTTAGTGTTATATGTTAGAAACTGCAGCTCGTAGGAGAAAACATACAGGCATTTTTTTCTACGTTGCATACGATCTAGATATTTTATATTACCTGTAAGTTTTGTATTATTTCAACCTTAAATATTTTTATTAAGCGGTGAAATAAATTAGGATATATAATGTTTTGTACTAATTTTAAGTTAGACTATAATATGCATCCGCTGCAATAGTTACGATAACAACCGCGCGGCCCAAAAAACGCACTCGCGAGAGAAGTATGAATTATAATGTTTTCTTCGAGCGCGCAGTGGCAGCGACGGGCGGCGGGCGGCGGGCGACGGGCGACGGGCGGCGGCGGCCGAGTGGAAACATCGCAACAACCGAAGCGGCGCCGTAAACTATGTTTTTTCAATTATAAAATGAATAAAGCAAGTAATGGCTTGCGTGTGAGTGGCGTGCGCGCGGCGAGCAGTGAGCGGCGGCCGGTAGCGGCGGCGGCGCGGCCAGACACTCGCGACGCGTTCCAGCTATCGGCGCAGTCGCCACGCCGCAATATGAAGTTCTGCACCATGTACAAAATTTCATATGTGGCCAAGAAGAAAAAGGTACATTTATATTGCATGCCATGCCTGGAAACATCTCAGAGAATTCTAAACATCAAACATGCCACATGACAAGTTGCAACAGGTGAAATTATATCATCTAATATTCATTTAATTTGATTTCACTTTGTCTGCAAGCGCATGTTTCACTGACACTGCTAATGGGAACTTCAAGCTGCCTTCTACTTCCTCATCACAGACTCCTTCATAATCATCTGCATTCAGAGAATAAATCATTGCACCCCGCAAATTCTGTTCTTTTATGTAATTTGCTTTTTCCATGGCGCTTTGAGGTGTGTCATAAGATATCCATTCCGCTTCTCTCTGGAGATAAGGCACCCTGGCATCTGGATCTAATTGTATAACAACCTCACTTCTGAATTTAGCTATAAACTTACATATGTCTGGATAATTCACAAACCCTAGGCCGCCCAGAGTTCCATAGCCTGCCGCGGGACTACCAACTTGTCCATTATTAGCATTGACCAATGTAAAGGAGTGCCCATATGTAGGTATACCAACCACTATTTTACTCCGGTCTAGGCCTTTGTCTAGGTACATGTGTACTGTGTAATTTATATTTAAGGTGGCCAGATACATTTGTTCAATGTTCCTCCGGTACAGCGGGGAGTTGAGTCCAGTGAATGGTGTGTATTTAGTGAAGGCGTGGAAGTCATACGTCATGACATTCACATAATCAACATACAAGTTGATCTGATCAACATCATATGCAACGTCTACAATTGTCTCCGGAGCCGCTACAGCCAAACTCAACAGATAATCTTTTTTTTCTCTGATGTACTCCATTCTGATTTCTCGAAGCAACTGTGAAAAATGTTGTCGTTGCCGTTTATAAATGTTATCATCAACATGAACCATTGGGAACTCCCAGTCCAAATCTATGCCGTCTAGTCCATATGTCCTAAGCACAGTTTTTACACTTTTGATGAATGCTTTTCTAGACGCATGGTTTATCACCATGTTTGGAAAGCCAGTGTCATTTCCAGCACCTCCAATAGAAAGCAATATTTTTAAATTGGGATTCATTCTCTTTAACATTACAACCTGAGTTAAAGATTCATATTGCTCATGATCCAAGTAAATGACTTTATTTCTAATTTGTGCAAAAGCTACATTGATATGTGTACAAAGGTGTGGGTGGATGGCGGAAGGCCTCAGCTGAGAGGAGGCTCCTGGGCTGGGCATGTTGTAGTAGCATGACACTACTTTATCCACCTTCAACACACCACCTGATTCTATTTTTATTTCTTCACTAGTATCCATGCTAACATTATTATGGGTCAACAGATTGAATTCAATAAACACAGTGTAAATAAATAGTAACCCAATTAAAATTACTAGCAGAGTTGCACGCACTGGCACTCCCGTAAAGGCAGTCCACAATACACACTCGTTTTCCTTTGCTTTAGATAACCCACTATCATTTGTTGCTTCATTATCGCACAATACAATCTCTTCTTTGTATTTGGTATTGAACGATTTCACAACCTCATCATTTTTCTTGCCTGTCCTGTTAGCCCCCATATTTTGTTTTTCTTGATCGTAAAAGTAAGTCAAATAAAACAGCCAAATTATATTTCTTTACATATGAGTCATCTTGCACTTTTAATATAAGTTGTTTACTTTTATAATTTTACATAAACCATAATGTTAATGTGTTTATAATGTACCTACGATTGGTATGTACGACTTATTAAGACGATTACGAAAAACTTAGCTTTTCCCTATTGTTTACAGCTGGAATTATAACAAAAAGATTTTTTGTCTTATTTTGACATCTGACAAATGGCAAACTAAAACTGTCAATGTCAATAACTAACACAAGCTAAGGGATGATCTATCTATGGATCTTTTCGATAAAACTTGAAATCGACATTAGTTATTTGTTGCGAAACTACAAGAACTATTTTTAATGTTTTTTTTTAATTAATTTCACTGTCATGAATTCAAAAAGTAATAAGATACCTAAGTTATAGTATTTACTTATTCGATCAATCGATTCATATTTTTATAAAACCGATTCTCGATAGTTCATACTTGTTCGTAATGCGCGTAGGATCGACACTGTAACAACCGTCTATAAAGTACAACATTTTATATACAACAGAGCGATTTCAGGTGGTCGCTCGCTCGTTTGCCACCTTATGATATAAAAAAAACATAAAAAGTATGATATGTAACCAAAAATTGCGGTGTTGAAGTTAAAAAAAAAAGATTAATATTTAATTAATTGTGCGATACATATCCAAATAACTGTAATACATTCACAAAGTTATTAAATACCTAAATTGTAGAACCCATTTGTTCGATTAAATCTATTACAAAATCGATTCTCGATAATTCACAGTTATTCGTTGTGCGCGACGGTTCGACACTATGACAACCGTCCATTAAGTACAGCATTAATCGTCGTACAATTTTTTTTTTATTTTTTTTTATTTATATAAACAAGGAATAAAATACAAATTTACAATAAAAGTGTCTATAAACCCATTGCGGGTTTGTCCAGACACTTTGGTACTACGCTATGAAATTAAACGGTAGGTAAGTTACATACTTTTTTTTTTGTTTTCAGCAAATTAGTGAGCTCGCTCATACCGTCATATACAGGGTGCACAAACGCGTTGTAATTTTATTAGACTTAGGATTTTAGATAATGATTTTTAAGTATATTTATTAATTCGATATTTCATAGGCGTCAGTTGTCAAACTAATCTGTCTTAAATAGACACACTATATAAGCAGGGCTTTTGGTCTCAGAAATCCACGGTATAACCGCATATCCATATAAAAATCAAATTGGTACCAAAGACCATGGCATATAGCCTTTCCTTGCATCTCTCTAGCTCTGTGTTGATTTCCACGACTGTTTTATTTATATTCTTGATTTTAGGCATAACACAGTTTTGACGGGACCTAAAGGTCTATGTTACCAGGTCATAAAATTAAAAAAGAACCAATTTTGACGTTTGACTATTTTTGACAATTGACATGACAATGACAAGTGTTGTCTGGTCGTTTGGCCTGCCTTTAGCAAGCTTTTTTTGTATCAAATAAGTTTTTATGAGACGTTATTGTTTAATTGTCATAATTATACAATATGTGATCGTGTAAATAGTAGTAAATTTCAAACTTCCATTTAGTAACTGTGTGCATGATAGCCGTTTTGCTGATAACTATGGATTGTGCAGACATGAATCACTATGAGAAACAGCTGTACATTGTCTTTAAAACATTCGACGTAGATAACGAGGAAGCCCTAGAGAAGTCTGCCGTACAAGAGTTATGTGACGCGTTGCAGCTCGAGGACCGTGGCGCTACATTAATCGAGTCATTGTTCGAGCGACACCCTGGGCGAGTTACCTTCACACAGTTCCGCAACGGGTTGCTGTCCGTGCTCGGAGGGGGCGATTCGCCGCCCCTTGCGCCCGCTGCCCCTGCTGCCTCTGCCGCTCCAAACCTGTCGCACCAAAGCGACGAAGAATCTTCAGGTCGGGAGGTCGCTCCCAAGTTTGTGTACGGTGCGAAAAAATACGGCCGGCGATCGCGGCCGCAGCACGTCTTGGCCGAGGAGACGCCAAGACCGCGCGTCTCTTCCGACTCGCGGCTCGACAGCGAACGTTCCAAGGAACGAATGAGGTGCAAACGTAGCGCATCTGCTATGGAGAGTCGCGTGCCGACCATCGACAGTGACGTCACAGCGGAAGGCCTCGAACACGACAGGCGAGTGGATCGTGAACACGCCTTATCTTTATGCCGCAGTCTTCAGATGAAAGGTATAGACAGCAGAATCGTCGATGGAGTCTTTGAAACCGTGTCCACCGATGAAATTACAGTAGGTGACTTTTTTGATCGGCTAAATGCTTCACTAAGCACTTCTATAGCTGCATCTATCGACGGCGTGAGTACTTCCTCGCATAATATCATTCCGAACTCGGAGGTTACGAACCGAGTTCCAGATGAGATGTCGACTGAAGTGATAGTAGAAGCATTCGAGCGCTCCGGCGTGCGCCGACCGCGTCGATTGCTTCTAGAGTTGGGTTTTGCCGCCGCCGCGGTTCGTCCCTCGGACCTAGAGCGTGCGCTTGACGACGAGTTGCAAGCGCTCACCGCTTCGCCCGAAGGTCAACCGGAAGCTCGCGATTTTCTTTCTTTAGCTTTGCTCACCCTTTTGCGATTAAGGCTAGAGCGGTCGCAGCAATGCATCTGCGCTGCAGTTGCAGAACGTGATAAATTACGAATGGATTTAGCGGAAGCAAATCGTCGCGCACGCCTTCTTGCTCAGGACGTCGATGACAACCATGCTCGTATTGAGGACGAACTAAAAGCGAGTTTACGTCAGGTAGAAGCTCGCTATAACGAGGCGGCGCGCGCCTCGGCCGCCGAAATGAGCCGCGAACGCGAGAAAACTGCAGCGTCCCTGTCGCGTCTCGAGGAGGAGGTCGCGCGGCGCGCAGATGTAGAGATGCGCCTGCGGGCCGACGCTGCAACCTTGTGCGAGCGAGTAAAGGATTTGGAGATGCGTGCTATTACTGCAGAGGAAAAAGCACAGCACTCGGAACGAGAAATAGTGCGCCTCGCAGCCGACCTAAAGGCCGCAGAAGAGGCCGGCGCACTCGCCGCAGACGCTTCTCGCGGCTCCGCGCTGCAGCTGGAAACGGCCCTGGCCGAGCTGCGATTGGAAAATAAATGGTTGCGTGACCGCAATGACGAGCTGTGCGCAGAGCTAGAGGTGGCGCCGCAGCAGAGCGCGCGCAGCGGTCCCGCCCCCGCCCCCAACCCGAGCGTCGGTCCCGCCCCCGACCTCGGCCTCTCCTGGCGAGATGAGGCGCCGCTCGATACCTCACTCTCGCTCAATGACTCTTGCAATGTAAGACATTTTACAATTCTAATTTTTCTAATATAAAATTATAGTTGAAAAAAGTTAAAATTTATTTAATTGTGTGGGTTTGTTTTCAGGGTTCATTCGTTACCGAGGGAAATGTTCAGTGCACCGTTATCAAAACGCTTCAAGAAACTCTGTCTCGTATTAAAGGTTTATCCTTATCCAAGGATAGTACATGTGAATCGTGTCGGGCCGTTGCGGACATGATTGCTTCAGCGGCGGGCGTAGCGGAGGGCGCAGCTGAGGGCGCAGCTGAGGGCGCAGCGGAGGGCGCAACTGAGGGCGCAGCGGCGAACGCCGACGTCGGAGCGCAGACCGACGCCTACGCCACCGCTCTTAGTGCGCAACAAATAGACGCCGACGAGAGAGATCAATTAATGGCCGTCATAAGGTGAAGTAATCTGACTTTGTGGATTTGTTGGCCTTAAGGTATTTATCCCGTAACATCGTGACCCGCTGTGTCCGCTGAGGTTTTTATTTTATGTAGTGACCTACAAAACTATCTTACTGTTTATATTACTTCAAGGATTCTTTCTTATCTTTTTCATCTGGTAAGTCATATAACTTGTCATATCCTCTATATCCTAACTTAACAACCGTGCGATTTGCGCAAAACTTCCTGCCTCGCACAGCCACGTTGTGAAATGCTGTCCTCGCCGGTATTTCCAAACCACTACGTCTTAGCGTCCTCTGTTGTTTCTCTACTTGTACATCTTTTGTTGCGTTATATATTTTTTATCTTCTCAAAAATGTGAAATGAGAGAGAGAGAGAGAGAGAGAGAGAAAATGTGAGCAGTCGGTGGGAATTGCTAAAGGAAAGTGAGGTATACTTTGCCAGCGAGCTGGAGTCATCGTACGAGCAGCTGAAGAGGGAGTACGAGCAGAGCGAGGAGTACTGGGCGGGCAAGGTGGAGGAGGAGCGCGAGGCGTGCGGCGAGGAGCTGCGCGCGGCGGACGAGCGGCTGGCGGAGCTGGTGGCGCGCATCGCCGAGTACGAGCGGCAGTTCACGCGCGCGCCGCTGCCCGCCATCGAGGAGCGCGCCGCCCTCGAGCAACAGGTCACCGCGCTCGAGGACGAGTTCGCCGCATACCGCCGCGACGCCGAGGCGCGTCTGGCCGCCCGCGCCGCCGACCTCGTCGCGCTGCGCCGCCGCCTCGCCGACCTGGAGCGCCGCACCGCCCCCACCCCCGCCCCCGCCCCCGCGCCCGCCCCCACCACCGTCAGTACACCTTCTGTTACTTCTCACTTTTATAATATGATACCGTTGATTGTGCATGGAGAGATGCGAGTGTTCGCATGCAGCGTGCTGTGAGGTGAGTATGACAGCGCAACATGATGTGTTGCAGAGTTGCGCGGGGTGTGCGGGGTGCGCGGCGGGGGCGCTGCGGGCGCGCGCGGGGCGTGCGGAGCGGGCGGCGCAGCGGCTGGCGGCGCGGCTGGCGGCCGCAGACCTGCTCGTGAAGGACCTGTACCTGGAGAACTGCCGGCTGGCGCACCGGCCGAGGCTGCCCTGACCTCGCTCGCCTCTCCCTGCCTCTCCCCGCCTCTCCCCGCCTCGCCCCGGCGAAGAGGTACCTAATTTTTGTGCTATTACGAATGTTTTCTTGCTTTTCATTTGCGTGCAAAAAAAGTTTTATTTTTTTTACTTAACAAAAGCGTAATATGTTTAATCAATAAGTATCACGAAGCGGTGGGTGGAGGTGCCGCATCGTATTTCTGTTGACGGCCTCGTTGAACATATAATTTTGTCGCAAAAGTTGACGTACTAGGACACGGAGAGCTCGCTATGATCTATATTGAAGTATTGTTGAATGCATGTTGTTAACTTTCAGTGCAGACAGCGGCGCGGCTGCAGTGCGTCCTGTATGTGACGCCGGCGCGGGATGCTGCACAACACTTTGTGTGTAACGAGACGACATATGTCTCGCTCGAGTGCCTTGTTAAATGTTTATATGAAAATAAAGTTATCTGTAAATATAAATATAAATGTGATATGTGTGTGCGTGATGTCGTCACGTCGCGCTCGCGTCTCAAACTGTTGCACTACCATATCTATTATGTACTTTGTATTGAAAATGTATATTATTATGTATACATAATGTTAGTATATATAAATATTGTATTGTAAAGTGGCAGGTGTCGGTGACGCAACGAGTCGTTGTTACGCGACACGTGTCTGAAGCTACGGATCAAAAGCTTGCGGAGGTTGAGTTAACTTTATCTTTAACAAAATAGTCCCGCTCATACAAACTGTTCACAGAGATTATTTTTTTTCTTTAACAGCCTCAGTAATTAATGTCATCCTACTTTGTGCTTCACTCATATAAGAACAAAAAGACATTTCTACAACTTTGACATGTTCTAATCATTTGTCTAAAAATTTTTGTGAAGTTTATACTTCGTAGTAAATATTGAGATATTAAATAAGTTTATATTTGAAGTTAGATAGATGTGGAGGAGCTCGACCTCCCGACCTCGACCTCACAAAGCAGTTGATTCAATTTAAGTATTTCAAATACACCTGTATGTATGTATGTATGTATGTATGTATGTATGTATACATTCCGTCGTTGTCTCAGTTACCTTTACTTATAAATATATAACAACACTCTGTGACACGACACGACACGACATTCTTGTACATACATACATCCATACATACATACACACATATATACAGACAGACAGACAGACAGACGCAATGAAACAGGAGGACCAGGCTGCTGGAACTAACGTCCACTTTAACGTTGATATTTTAAATGAAACACTGCAGTTATTTGTTTGTAAAAGGCAAAACTAAATTGAATTTTAATAAAGTAGTTATTAAGAAGTTCTGTCCAGCGTCAAGTTTGTTTTATAATAATATATTAGGTAATAAAATAAAAACTGTTGTTGTGCCTTTGTTGTTCTCTAGATACAATAATCCTATGATTATGTGATAACATTTATGTCATGTTACTACTCACTTAGCTCTAAATAATAAACATTTCCAAAACTTTGCATTTTTTATTAATTAAAACCTTCTCCCTTCCCCTCCCCACTCCAATTAAATGCAATTTAAGAAAATGCACCGACAAGGTCCAATCCATGTCTGACCAGGCCCGGTGAGTGGGACTGGGATTATGTCGGTGTCGCGGTCCCTCGTCAGCTTGGAATTTAAATAAAAAATAGCCTCAATAAATAGTAGAATTTTATTTTAATGAAAAACATACACAAACCATTGCTAATAAGTCACCCACATGTCGGTGAATACTGTTTTCATCTGTTTCAGGTCTTGCCAGAACATTCATGACATTCAATTGAATCAGAAGTCACGATAAGTGATTTCAGATATTTATATAACACTACTACTAACTGATTTTAATGATAACAATATTATTTAAATAATCAGGTAAAGCCAATAATCACATACATACATACATATATGCTCTGGCTGACTAAAGCTATCACAGTTTTTCTAATAGTTCAATAAACTTATAGTTTTATAGAAAAAACTTTTCCGGCTGCTCTATTCGCATATTTATTTATTAGTTCTCGTCGCGGTATCACTTACTTTTGTACATTATTCAATTAGTTATCTAGTTATCTAGCGGACAACTGTCGCCTGTTGCCGCTGTAAGCAATACCCGTTTCTCCTTGAATATTTATTTTTATCATAAATGAAAATTGTTTATACCACATTAATATTCACAATTATAATATGTTCCTAGCCAGTAACAGTAACTACGAATGTATTGCACATTATATTTAAATCATACCATAATGAGGTTAACCTCACGCCTCGCTGTGTTACGCTGACTATTTGTAGGTAGTACATGGTTTCTCAGACTCGCGTCCATTCCGCATCGTGGACCGTTGACGTGCCACCATTACTTTTAATTTAACCATCTTACAACAAAAAAACCTTTGAAAGTGTCGTCGGTTTACAAAGCGGGGGCAGAGGGCGACGCGGACTGCTACAGGTACATCCCGTTGACGAGGTAGTCGGCGTCGAGCGCGAGACGCGGGTGGGCGCGTCGGCGGGAGCGCGCGGCCCGGGCGCGGCACGTCAGCAGCGCGCCCAGCGCCGCCGTCATCAGCGTCCCTGCGCACAAATGCAGCGTTACCCTTTCCCAAACGTACTTACGTTCTCGACGCCTCTCACGACTAAATAGTAATAGTACCCAATTTTCCATTATACGAAAAAAAACATACAATCCCTCATCCTCATGAACTTAAACTTAGTTCACCGTTCTTACGGTTGTATTGCGGGTCGGAGCTAGACGCTGGGCACTACGCCCGTGCTTATCTTTACTATAACCGATAAAAGTTTATCGTGAACATTACATTCCATCCTCCTAACTAAAATTCCACAAAATATAGCTTTATCTGTATCTACCGACTTCCGTGTTCCTACGAAACAAATACAGCGATCATGGAGAACCTTGTAAAGATCGATAAAGCCCCGTAACGCTCCGGCCTCCATGACCACAGGTTACAAAATAAAAAGTTATAAAGCAAATTGAAAAATAAAAAGGTACTCACTACTGTACCTTAGCAAAATGAATACATATGTGCAAAAAAGAGTAGAGACCAAGAGTCCGTCGATGTCTTTTGTTGTAATAAATAAATAAAAAACCCTGTAATAAGTAAAAGAAGTAAGAGCAGCGGAGAAGCGTCGAGGAGCGCGGAGGAGAGCTTACCCAACACGAGCAGAAGCACGGCCGCCGGCGGGCGCTCGCTGGGGCCGTCGTGCGCCTCCGCCCCCGGCCCCGGCCCCGCCTGCCGCCCCAACGCCACCTTCTCGGTAAAAAGAAGACGGTACAGATTACGTTTCGCGCAGTTAACTCGTCTGAATGGTTTACGGGGATGAAACAGACCCATGCCAGTTTTGTTTCTAACAGCGTATGCAGTGAAGAAGCCAGTGTAATACTGCCATTGTTTGAACGCACACTTATTAGGTAAAAGTAGTGGGCTGTGAGAGCGTGTGCTTTCAAACAGTAGCAGTAGTGCAATGTTACTACCCGCCTCTCTGCGCCCTCGGCTCCAACAGTGGGAGAGTGAGTGCTCGAGAGAGCGGTGTCAGTGCTTCCTGGTCATCTTCAGGTTCACTATGAAGTAATTGTTCTGATGCGTAAGGATATGATTGATTTCCTCTCCATATCCGCTGTCTAGAGCGGAGCGCCCCGCCGGCGGCCGCCCGGCGCCCGGCGGAGTCGCGATAACCTCGCCTCCCTACCCACTAACAGGACAGTTACAGTACGAGTGAAAAAGCAGCACAGTACCATTTGTTTCAAGAACTTCTTTTCCGTGTCTTTGTCTTCGAGCCGGGGCTGGGGCTGGGGCTGGGGCTGGGGATGGGGCTGGGACTGAGGCTCGGTGCGGTCGGGCGGGGGCGCGGCGGCGGGCGGTGCGCGCGGGCCTGGGGCCAGCAATTCGAGGCCTTTCTTGGGCGCGTCGTGTGGCGCGGCGGGCCGCTGCGGCTCCGCGGCGACGTACAGCGGCAGCTCCGGCATCGTCCTCTCGGGCGCGTACACACCCGCCTCCTGCTACGTTCATACAACATTGTGAACCGCTCGCGCAAACCTCGCGCTTATCACATATGCTATAATCGATTCCCCCGCTGTACATTTTATGTTTTTATTTATTCAAATAAAAATAAATAACTAAAATCAAAGATATGTGGAGCGTTGGCGCCTGTCGTAGTATGAATTGTGCAACAGCCATCGGTGCGGCGCCTTTCCTTGTAATGTTATACTATATATATTATCGTGCATGTGGACTTTGAGGCGAAAACAGATGCCTCGATACGGATGTCGGTGTTGTCGACGGCGGCACTCGAGTCTCGATTCCTTTAGGAAAATAACTAAAGTGAAAGGGGACGCACCGGGTTGAGGCGCGCGGGCACCGGCCAGGCGCGGCGCTCCTCCGGCCAGGCTCTGGGGCGCTCCTCCGGCCACGCCCCCGGCCTCTCCTCCGGCCACGGCCCAGGCCGCGTGCGGTGCCTCCCGCCGCTTGCGCCCTCCGCAACCGCGGGCCCGCGCCCTGTCTCTTCGCCCTCGCCATCGCCGTCGCCATCGAGGCTATCCATTGCTGTAACATTCGCATTTGCAAATTTTAAATTCAAAAGACACAAACTCCATTGTACTTGCACAGTGACTAGTACATTGTTCCGAGCAGTCAACATATTTAAATATATTATATATGACTAATGGCTAATGGTAATGATTTTGTGCGCTTACCGCTGCGAGACGCGTCCGGCGGGGGCCCGGGCGGGGGGCCGAGCGGCCAGGCGCGCCGCGGCCAGCCCGGCGCCACCGCGCCACTCTGCAGCAGTCCGCCCTGGTGGCTGAAGATGTGCGGCGTGCTGCCCCCCGCGACCCCCGCGCCCCCCGCGCCCCCCAGCCCTGTCACACCTAACAATTGATATAATAAATAAGTACGATCCAGTAGCAGGTCATTGATTCATTTTCTATTAAAAAAAGCTTGAAAACTTTTCAGTTACCACTATTACTGAATATATTAGTATCTGTAAAAGCACGAACTGCTGTTAACTTTAAAATTTTGCTTGCAAAACTCTATGTTGATAATAACAGATACCGGGATAGCGACGCTGAGCCTGCGTCAGTCTCCACGGCCACAGCTCTCCTGCGTCCGCGCCCTCCGGCTGCCCCGCATCCCCAGCTTCCCCCGCACCCATAGTATCCGCCGCGCCCCCTGTCGCTGCTGCACCTGCCGCACCCGCCGCCGCCGGCTCCACCTGTTCAAGGACCACTTCTACATGATTTTTTTAAGAGTGTGATCCCGTGTTTAAGAGAAGCATAAGGTAACCAATGGAGGAATATGTTATTTGGGTTGACAATTTTATATTATAAGGTGGCAAACAAGTGGGCGGCCTGAAATAGCGAAGCGACCGCTGCCCATAGGCATTAGCAAATGTAGATGCGTTGCCTATCTTTAATCGGCCGAGGGTATACACGGAAAGATAACATTTGCACTTCCCATCCTTTCCTTATAAGAAAAAGGGTAGGAAATGAAAGAGGACTAAAATTAGGCCTCCGCTACCACACTCATCAGAGGAAACACGGGATTGCTTCCACTTGACGCCTGTCTTCTGTGTAGTCATAGTATTGAACCGGACGAACCGTACAATTCGTGTTGAAGCGGGCTCTACCACTAACGGTCGAAGTTGGCTATTGTCAGTGACAGTAATTTTGGAGCTCAACCACATCCGCGTTTTTGACACAGGATGTACAGGTCTCTTACGGCAGAACCAAATAAATCGATCTAAAATATAAGCGTTTTTCAAATACAATCGATATACGGATCGCAACATCCAAGAATCAGATTTATCCGGTGGTAGCTCCATTTTTCTATTCCATTCCTTACAAAGTAAATAACTAGAATTAATCAAGGTGTAAATTTTACCTGTTTCATTGATTGGAGGATTCGGCCGCACGGGGTTTCAGAGGGGCTGGGGTGCAGTTGCAGAGAGGGTAGCGTACCTGCGCGTGCGGCGGACGGGGCGCAGAAGGCGCGGCAGGTGCAGGGGTCGCGGCAGGCGCAGGGGGCGCCGCGGGCGCAAGGGGCGCGACGGGTGCGGGACAACCAAGCTCGGGCGCCTCGTCGCTATGGTCGGCGCACTGCGGCACGCCGTCGCAAGCGTTGTAAACGGCGATGCACTCGCCGCCGCGTCGGCACTCGAACTGGTAACGGCTGCAGCGCCCTGTGTGTCACGTCACATCCCTTGTACACGTGATGTTCAGCACGGTGCTCCCCCATCTGAGACGCTATCTGCATCACTCACTTAAACGTTTCAGTATAACAAATTATCTCCGTAACATTTACAATACATTTTCAATAGCCTGGCGAAGATTGAACCTAAAGGTTTGATGAAGCTGAGTAATACGACTACATAGATTTGGTTGAGGATTAAAAGCAGCGCTGAAGGATTTCAACCATTTTATACGTATTATATATATTTTAATATTTTATTTATCAGTAAAATTAACATTATTATCACAGAAATATTCATTCATTCTTTTCCTTGTTTGTGGCAATAAATAAATAAATATTCATTCATTCATTCATTCATTCATTCATTCATATTCATTCATTCATTCATATTCATTCATTCAGAAAGAAAGAAAAAGTAAATACGGGGCTGTTGTGGTTGCTGCGACTGCGTCGGCGACGCCTGCTGCTGCGGCAGCCCCGCTGGCGTCGCCAGGGTGCCAGGCGGCCGCGGGGACAGGACCGCTGTGGCTGCCGGCCTGCTTGTTGTTGAGGGATTTCTGCGTAAATCAATTTTAATGTTAGGAAAAAATTGGTCCGAATCGACTGGCCAGCGATTGCGATAAAAACCGAAAGAAGATATTATAGATAGTGAGTTCTTTGTCATTTCCAAGTGCGGGATAAATGAGAAATTTTTCGGGTGCACATATAAGTAATGGTGTTCTACTAATTTTCAGTCATGCGCGTTTTATTGTCTTCAATTAACTGCGCTACTAATCACCACATTATATCGTAATGTGTAACGGAAACTATAAAATACTATTTCCTTTTCATTCATCCACTACTGTGTGAAGTCCTCCGCTCTTTTTCATCCATTTCGTATTAAAAAAGGAGTAGGCATCGGACAAGAGTTACATTCACAGGAGTATGTGAGCGGTGAGCACCTGAGGCGCGCCAACTGCTCCTCGTGCCGCTGCCGGTCCTGCCGCTCGGCCAGCCGCCGGCTCAGCGCCAGTACGCCGCTGCTGAAGTTGCCGTGCGCCGTGAATTTGCAGCGGAAGTCCTCGGGAGGGCCGCATGCGAACAAGTAGCAACTCCCAGGACTCTGCACAACACAACCGTAACGCACCATCAGCTGCGCCCCGCAGGTCATCAAACGACCGTTTAGGTTTGTGTCAATTATAAAGTTTTTGCTGCTAAACTAGTTCTACTAGCACTAGTGTAGACAGGGCCTTTGCAGGATATCAATTTGGGTAAGGGTCTCCTTTCATTAAAGCTTCTGGAGGAGAATTGTACAGATATACATACATAACACATACATTTTCGCTAAAAGCATTGGCCTAGCGTCTGGAGCTGCCGCATAAAAATAGTGTACATATACAGGAAAATAGAAAATATTTTTTTACTACTTTAATGAGGCGGAGCGGCAACCCGTCATTTGCGTCGTCATCAGCGAGCGTTGCCATGACAATCTGCATTCAGTTAGAAAATGCACTGGCTACCTTTGAAGGGTAGGAGGGGATGTGGAGGTAAAGGATATTTTCCTTTCCTAGCTATCCCCTCCCCGGCCAAATTCACTTTCCAATTGACCTCCGCCACATATTTATCAGACGAAACATGGAATTACTTCCACTTAACGCGTGTCCTAACATACATATATAATCGTGGTACTGCATCGCGCGAGTGATGTTAGATAATAGTGAACATAATTGAATCCCGAATTAGCTCGTAATTAAAACAATAACCGTTTATGTAGATCCGTACGTGTGCCGGAGGTAAACGAACCACGGAATCATTGATTCATTTGACGACTCAGTAGTTGAGAAGAAAACACAAATACAAAACGAAGAATTTTACACCATTCGGAAGTTGGCAACTGGCAATGGTCTTTGTATGATAGTTTTGTTTCCAGCGGCGCTTTCCCGTCTACTGTGCCTCCCCATTCTCTGATTGGAAAGAGGCACTAAACAGATAAAAAATGTATCACAACGATGAAACGCGATGCAATATGTTATCGATCGAGAGCGCGTCCGAGGCGCAATCCGCGACCTCGTCTACGCCGCGCGCCTCCCTCGACACCGACCTTCTCTTCGAACACGAACACGTCACAAGCGTCGGTCTCGCAGCAGAGACGCAGGCACTCGGCGCGCGAGCCCACGTCCAGCTCGGCAAGGTAGCGCGCGCCCATCTCGCGCGACTCCTCCGTGCGGATGATCTTGTCGCGCTGCACGTCAAAACGCGCCGAGCAAGCGACTGGATCCAGCTCGCGCGCGCGCGCCACCGCCAGCACGAGAGCTGCCCACCACGCACACGCGCGCATGCCGCCGACACTCGCAATGCACGCGTCACGTCCTCGCGCCTCCGGGCTTGAGGCAGACTGCACTCCGCGCGTCTCATCGCGGTGCGCGCGCCAGTTCGATACGCCGAACTCTGGCCGCGAGCATGCGCGCCATCACCCGTCTCCCAATACGACGCTCGCGGGACCCGCTAAAACTTAAGTTCGCTTTCCACTAAGTGGCTAACCGCCCATCTGCTATTTCAATGAGCAGTGTTCATACTTCGTTTCGATATAACACCGAACTGTGGCCCGCGATTTCGTCAGCGTGGAATGAAAAACAAACTTAATTTCTAAATACATGTCAAATATCGAGATCTGTTGAAGAGAGAATTAAAAATAAACTTATTAAGTGGTTTAACAGTGGCAGAGCTCGCTTTAACATGTTCGCACGAATTGTCCCGGCTCGCCCGGTGAAATACCACGAACATACAGAAGACACGCCTCCAGTGGAAGCTATTCTGATGAGGGTGCGTCCCGGAGGCCTAATTTAGTACTCTTTCCCTTCCCGCCCCTTTTTATAAGGAAAGGATGGGAAGTGGAAGTGGACTTTCCGGATGAGAGGATGCATGGGAAGGGAAGATATGTTCTTTCTGTGCATCCTCTCCTCCGTCGATTAAAGGTAGGCAACGCATATGCACTTGCGTATGTCTATGGGCAACGGTCACTTCGCTATTTCAGCGATTTCAGGTGGCCGCTCGCTCGTTTGCCACCTTATGATATAAAAAAAGTAGCCATTGTTTTCTTCCAAACTATACTCAATATCTTTGGCAAATGTCATCGAGATCCGTTTGGAGATACGTAGTAACAAACTACCATCCGTCCAAACTTTCGTATATATCATATATGTAAGATATATCTTAATTTTGTGGGTGACAAGATTGCTTGCATGGGAGAGCTATTGTGCAGTTTGAGCGGCCTTGTGAGAAATGCGGTGTTAATAAACGAGCACCCCTAAACATTTGTGAAGGACAATACTTCGCCGGAATCGATGTGACAGGCTGACAGGTGCGCGGCAGAGGTGGCGTGCGCCGGGCAGCGACGGGAGGCGGCGGGCGGCGGCGGAGACTGTGGCGGCGGCGCGCGCGGCAGACCGGGCGCGTCCCCGCTGACAACCGCACCGTGACAGCCGCGCGGCACGCCGCCGCTTGCTCCGCGCACGCCCGCCGCGACTAGCGCGCCCACAGACGCAGTCCCCATCCTGCCCTGCATCTGAATGTCTCTATTTTTCAAGTTCAGAAGTAACGTGAGTACACCTACAGACACACTAGCTCGCATAAACATTCGTACGAACAAGCATAATATTCACTTGACCGGCATGACATATGCCCTTCTTTATCGTGACGTCGTTTGCGCGTTTCGAGTCTCGAGCAAGTGCCTAAACCGCACAATAGCTCTCCCATGCAAGCAATCTTGTCATTTAATTCATTTACAAACTTTTCACTGTCTCTACATATCTAAAAAGGCATAATAAAATGACAAAAGGTAATAAAGAATAAAAACATTGCAAAAAAAACATATTACCATGATATTCATACATGTTCGTGGTCAATGGACGGGGGGAAGCTGTAACAATTGTCAATATTCGTATGAAAATATTGACACTTTTGTCGGCGGTGTGATATGTTACATGATACGAGTAACATACGCAGGTCACGTATTGCAAATGATTTTAAATAACAATTACACCCAAACAATATCCCTAAAAGTTCATCATTTAATCGATCAGTTTTATCAGTTCTAAATAAAAGGGACATTTGAAGTTAAATATTATATTAACCGCAATCTATTTAAACCTTGCTACTCTAACTTCCATACTTTTGGAGTAATGTGTACCGCTGTTTTGACGTTAAATATATGCATATCTATACGTCTACAATTATTCCGTATTCCGTCATCAAGTATTCCGTGTACATGATGACTTTCTTGGGAAATAATTGCAGTGGTTTCCCCTTGCCTTCTGCACCAGCACTTTTTTTTGTTTTTGCAGGATTTGCAATGCTCATAACGAAATCCTAATTTTTATATTGTTTGTCTGTCTGTAAAGACATACCCGAAAGAATATTGGCCTTGCGGACGTCTGTCCGTCTGTAATGTCCTGAACGATTGGACCGATTTTGACGGGATTTGACGGGAAGGTAGCTGATAGACGCGGGCATATTGTAAGCTACTTGTTTCTTTTTAATTCTGCGCTGACGTAGTTGCGCGCTATCGTTATTTACCCGGCTGGGGTCGCAAATGGAAATGCTTTTGTTATTCTGATAACTATAGTGTGAACGGTCACCGCTGACTCAAATTTTAAAGAACCCAACTGAGAGAGCTTTAATTATTGTAAAGTCTAAGCCCTGCTATTGTCAGTTTGTAAAATAAGAACCGTGCCCCTCCCGGGCCTCATCGCACCCGTTGCGTCCGCCGCGCCCGCCGCGCCGCGCCGCGCCGCGCCGCACGCGTCGCACTCAGTCAGATCCGTTAGACGGTCAGTCTCGATCTCGATTGTTTCAGTAGTCGGCTGCGCGCCCGCTCGGTAGTACATGTGTAGTTTGCGTCGCGAGTGTACTGTGACTTGCCCGGTGCGGTAAACAAGAAAGACGTGCAGTGAACCTATACGGATATTGTAGCAGGAACACATCGAATCGCACTCTAGCCGGACCCGGGGTCGCTGACCCTCCCATCATCTCGGTACGTTATAAATGCTTCGCATGGCCGGGGCCGCAGTTTACGAACGTTCCGCTAAGTCGCGTCCGTAATTACCTACTGACCCGCCCCGATGAAGCAAGAATGGCTTCCCGAGCATGGCACGGATGCCTCGTGATTCCGCGTCGCGGTCGATGGCGCGGACACCGCTACGTCAAGGATAATAATAAATAATAATTAGCCTCGCGGCGTTGCACTCTCTGCCGGCGCGACGCGCTACCGCTCAGGGCCGTGTGTTGCGCGCCGCCACCAGCCACTGACGATGATAGCGCGTCGCATATCGCTGCTAATCAATTTCACAGCGCTCTGACGCCCGCCACTGATATAGCACCTAAATATATATTTCTTATCTAGCGCCTAGGTGCATTACATCATAGTCTTTGAAATAAAGTTTGTTAGCAATGGTTTAAATTCATTGGTCATTTAAATGACTATGGCGCGGAATTGGAGACGTGGTATTAATCCGCGGCGTATGGTAATGTGATGTGTAACGGAATCTGGCGTTGTATACAATTCCTAGGAAATCTATACATTACCTCAA